CCATGGAAGGATTATTGAAAAAAAAAAAAAAAAAAAAAAAAGGAGAAAAGAAAAGAAAAAGACTTGAAAACCATATAAAGAAGAAACAAGGAGACGATTGAAACTCCAGGGTGGTGTGAGTATGGAGATTCCACTCAAACCAGCATCATAGCCAAACACCAACTACATATTCTGCACACACATACTCAGGTCACATGCTAACATGATAGAAAGACCATACTACCATCCCTAAATTAGCTCCCACACCACTTCTTTTATAGTCATCAGCCAAAAACTAACTTAAAGAGAAATTGAATGTAAGCTGAATGACATGCACGTATATTTGTATGCTTCTAATGATGATTTACGTTATAACAGATTGTGTTATGCATGAGCTTGTATATATCTAGGTGAGTGTTATATTTTGGTTTAACATGTTGTGGATCTAATGAGAATAATGGACTGCTGTGCATGCAGTAGGTATTTACTGAGACTAGCTTCATTACAAGAGTGTGAGTACATGCACACTAGTGGACAGTGGACTCCATAGCCATTTAGTTTATACTTATTGATTGTTTTTGGTGTTTATGTTTGCACTCTTTTTGTTTACATCTTATTTATATTAAGACTAATCCTGCATGCTTGTGCTAATTAGGAAATGCAGGAAAACCTAGTTTGTCAATGTACACCATTTCATGTTTAACTTCTGTTTATGGGTAATTTTGTTATGAAATGCTTGTGCTAAACTGTCATAGCTTGGTCTGTACATTGCTAATTATCTAAATTATGCCAAAGCTAAATCTGTCATGAGGGTTTCTATTGCTCTTCTAAATTCAGTAGATTGTTTTTAGTTTGTATTAAAATTGACTAATAACTGCAAATGGCTCAGTTATAGCTTGAAGCCAAGCTCACATTTGTGTCTATCATCTCATTTCAGACTAGCTAGCTTAATAGGTGTGTCAAACATCTCTCTCTCATCCTTCGTCCGTAGACTTCCACCCCCCTGAACTAATCCTCCTCCTACTGGGTATTTACGCTACTGGCACTGGCTTTCAAGAGGCCCTATAAAAGGACTGCCAGACTGACAAGAGATGCCCTGCCTTTAGGATAGTCAGTTGGGACATAAAACCTTCTCTCAAAGCTCATACAGGATCCTATAAAACAATCCTTGAGCTTTTAGAGGCTCAGTGATTTTGAAATTCGTTGTTGATGTAGCTGACATCGGTCCTACTACTCCAGATTAGTAACGCAAACCTGTTTTTTTTTTTCCCCAAAACTAGAATTTAGCTCATTATTTTGTAACCTTCTGTATCTGATTAAGCTTTACTATATTTGTTTCTAAACACTTTATGCTCATCCACTTTATGGCAGCTACATACAGTCTTTTGTTAAACCTTTGTTTGACACTGAAACTTATTAGCTATTTCAGCCATGTACAAGCTAGATTAACTAGACTGTTTTCTCATTCAAGAACTTACATACTCATGCTTTAGCTTATCTATTTACGGTTATTCTTGCACAGAGCTTGTCCTGTGCACTACTCTGATCCACAGCTACGATAACATAAACATAAAACATGCATCATCCATTTGACATGTCCCATAAGAAACTACATAAAAGTGAGATCAAGGTAAAGTTAAAACCTCTCCATTATGTGTGGATGACTGGGTTGTGGGACCACCAGAGGATCCAGCAGCAGCATTAGTTCCTTGCCTGCTAAGAGGGTCATGATGAGGCACTGCAGGAGAGACAATAGGAGCACTTGTCTGTAGGGAAAGTCCATACTGTGCAAGAATTGCCACAACAGATCTCTGAACCTCCACCTGCAGTGGCATCTCTGACATTTGGTGTTGCAATTCCATCTGGTCGAATCCATGGCTAGATGGGCGCTTAGCAACACAAGTATCCTGTTCATATTTTAAGTGACATTTACCACGTAGTACATATCAATGTGATACTGGACAAAGTTGATGCGAACAACATTTGAACACAACAATAATATGTTATCTATCACTCCATTCAATTCTCAGTTATCACCATTATACCAAATTAGAATAGCAACAAACTTGAATTTCTATAAATGCATCCTATATATATATATACATGAGAAAAATGTTTTGTAGATCATCCTCTTAAATTGTTTGTGGAAGACCTATCTAAAAACTCATCTTTTAATTAATATTTTCAAAAACCAAGCGTTAAATTGAAAGCTCTATCCATACAAATCATACATGGCAATTTCAAATTGTTCTAGTAGGCCTAACCACTTTGTTGATTATAGAAAATTTAACACCATTAAATATATGTCAATAAATAAAATTTCTTTGATCAAAGGGTTATGAGTATCAAATTAATATAAAATTGACATGCATGATCTACATGAATAGAACTTTCAATCCAACAATTGGTTTTTGAAAATATTAATTAGATTGTGGGTTCTTAGACAGGTCTTCCAAAAACAATTTTAGGAGAATGACCTACCCTACACTACCCTCTCTCTCTCTATATATATTTTGATATACTTACGTGCTGCTTTTGTGCTTGTTGCAAAAATTTCTGACTCTTGGGCCATGCAAGGTCTGATTGGTGTGCAGTCTGGCTAGCGCTAGCCATAAACTTACTAGATCGAAAATCACCAACTGGGAAAAGAGGCTCAGATGGGGTGCCTATCCCTGTTAGATTCAAGACTTAGCCCACTACAATTAATTAAGAAAGCAAACAACAAGCTAGAATTTGACTGAGTTGACCTATTAACTTAATCTTGATATTTAGGGTTAAGGTCACGGGTTTAAACCACTCTAATACCAAGTTACTAACTCCAGATATACCATAAAAATAAATTAAAATTAATTAAGACAAAGTGAACTCAGTACTAAAATAACTCACTGCCTCCAATACCAGTAGAATTCATGACACCTGCAGTCAATGGCTTAGTCCAAGTGAAGCTGGACTGAAATTCTCCCTCATAATTGGAGGCAACATTTGAGGATGCTGTAGATTAAAGAAATAGTTAAAACAATAATATTCCATAAGAATTAGAAGAATGTCAAAAATATATCCATACCCGCCAAATTACCTGTCAACATTTCAACATCAAAGGATTTGTTTGTTCCATCCTTCTGAAATTTTAGAGAGTTGAAAAGATTTAGACAAAGGGTAGTAGAAGGAAAACATGAAATAGTCCAACACTTTTGAACACATGTACATAATGTGTGGCTCAGGGGTGGAATTAGGGCCCATTTGTGGGTACTGGGTTTGTAGGACTGTGTGCTGTATTAATATATTTTATTTTATTTGATTATCTTGGGTTACACAATGAAAGGTAACCTTTTCCCATTCCTTAATCTACCCTACCTATATATTATGCAACTCAAACTTAGAACCTCTTACTTTCACTGAAAAGAATAATTGCTTGGTTGAAGCTTGGAAGGAAGTAAGGCACAGATAAGAATAGTTACTTTCACTATGAAAGCTTCTTCAAGCTTCTTTAATTCATCATTTGACAAACAAAAAACAAATTAAGAAAAAAAAATGCATAGCAAATATTTGAAATTAAATGTTTATCATATTTATTTGTAATTGCTATTATTTCATGGATCATCAATCCATCTCCTGTAAGTTGTGATAGAAAGTGCATAAATTAAAGATCATCGATCATACCTTTGAACTTTCTCCATTTCTTTTGTTGTAATCTTCTTTAAAGGCTTCGTACTTGTCAATATTTTCGGGCTGCATAACAAAGGCCTCAAATCTTTCGCGTTCAAACTGCATTTACAATTAAAACAGAATAGATGAGGATTTTTTAGGAATATAATTCAAGTAAACATCAATCACTCAGAACAATATAGATTCAATCATTAATATGAAATCCTTTTTTTTTTTTTTTTGCCACAAATAAACTATTATATTATAGAGAAATAAACTCATCCATTATTACAGTATATATGCTAAGGTTTTGTCAGTCACAACACATAATTAAGGAATACCATATAACTAAGGGTGGGGTATGACACCTTTTAGCCAAACTAGCATCACAAAACATGCCTTTCTCCAACAGACCAATAAATTCATAAAATAATAAAGTATTTATTTCTCTTATCAATTTCCACAATCTTCCCACAGTTAAAATGCATTCAAATTCCCATAAGAGTTACTAAGATTGATAGAGAAAAAACATCCAAAGTAATTCTCATAATTAAGCAGATAAGTATGTTTATAATCGCCTAATAATAATTGAATGAATCAATTTAAGCACGCCATAAGTACTGTCAGTCCATTGAAGACTTATATATAAAGAACGGGACATTAAAGCAACAACACAGTAAAAGAGCATCTCCAAAAAATTTTATTAGGGAGAATTAAGGCTCAACTCAAATAAATTCTTCTCCACACATATTGGACATTAAATTCTTATTCACTACCTTACAATACATATGAAAACAACAGGACATTAATTATTTACCTTCTTATTTGCCCGACTTTTCTTACTATGTTCATTTCTCCTTCTCCTACTTTCTTCTTCAGGCAATGGTGGACGTCCTGGTCCTCGCCTGTTTCCTGCTTCATCGGCTTCAGTCCTTTTCTGCTTTCCTCCCTTAGCCATTAATTCTTCTTTGTGACAGATACAATATAGGAAATTATTCATTAGAGTTAGCTGATCTCACTAAACAAGTAAATACTTAAGCAGATCCAAACCTTCCTTAGCTGATGATAGAAAATTAAGATTTAATATTCAACTAAAAATTAACAAACAACACGCTAGAATAACTGAAGATTATAATTAGCTGATCTCATTAAACAAGTAGTACTTAAGCAGATTCAAGGATATTCCTTTGCTGATAATAGAATATTAAGGAAGATAGATTCAAACAACCGACCAACCAACAAAACAAGACAGTAGAATAATTGAAGAAATAACAGAGAAAATGATCAAAACAACAAATTAAGCATGTATGTATTATTCAAACCACGATGACGATGAAAAGTTGGAGCACGAGAAACCAACCTTTCGTATAGGCTGTATCGATCTGAAAATGGAGATTTGCCCGTCTTGCCATAGAACTGATGAATTTATAGGAAAAAAAAAAAAAAAAAAAGGGGCTTCGACGCAGAAATTAATTTTTGCCTCGAGGGCTAAATCCCACTGCCGGTTTCCCACCACTACATTAGGAAGTTTGGCTAGTCAAACAGTCAAAATCTGAACACTTGTGTGTGGTTCTTCCTTGTATACTTATTTAATTTAAAAATACTATAATTATAATTAGCAATCCTGTAGCCTAGTGCCCACTCTGCTCGTTGTGAAATACATTCAGTTTGAAAGTTTAATTTTTTTTAAATAATAGATATTAATATTTAATTTAATTAATTTT